GGACAGGAAGTTAAAGGGGGAATCATGGGGACGGACAGGAAGTTAAAGGGAGAATCATGGGGATGGACAAGAAGTTAAAGGACCCGGAACAAGAAGAGAAAGGGGGAATCCCAGCTGCAGCCACTTCAAAAGGTTTGCTGGGTGCCAGAAGAAAGGGCTTCGCGTGCCAGCTGTGGCACACACATGCCATAGGTTCGCCATCGCTGGTCTAGAACTACATCAATGGAAAGGTAAGTGCAAAATTCGGGCCCAGTGGTGTTTTGGAGGACTTTTTTCATTTCCTAACCTGTGCGTCAGGCTTTGATTTCAAAGCTTCCGATTTGGAGGCTACCTTGGATATCAAAGACTGTACACTTGATTCTGGGGGAGGAGGGGAGAGCTGCCATTTCAAACCCGTCATTACCGAGTGAAGAGTTTAGGCAGAATTCTTCATCAGGACTGTGGAAAAAGAGGTTGAAGATTTAAGGGATTCTTCCTTTAAAGAAAATACAGGAGATTTACTGTTAAGATGACACACAAAACTGCAGAACAAGTCCAGGATGTCTCTCTCGTGTGGCAGACAAAAAAGGACTGAGGAATATGGGCAGTGTATACAATATAAACCTTAGGAAGGAACATGAGGCTAAGGCTCTGAAGGATTGTCTGTGCAGGAAGAGAACAGCCTTTTTGTGTGCATACATATTGGCCACAAAGAAGAATTTGTATTTACTTGCAAATTTTCTTTTTATGTACAGGACAGTTGGTGTAATCTCTGTACTCACTATCTGTCAACATCCATTCCCTATGCCAACAGAAAGAAAGAAAGGCTGGACTAGGGAGGACTCTTTTTTTACTCAGAGCCAGTAGCTAACAATAAAAACAAAGACTCAGACATTTCAGAACTAATCCAGTTCCTTGCACCAGATCAAAGCAAAGCAGATTCTGGACTACTCCCTTACAATGAAGTAGACAGAAGAAATACAGATAAGCTCAGATTTGCCATTCTCTCTGTTTCCAAGCAAACATTCAGACTCTATGATGCTGGATAGCTCAGGAGTTTAGGTATCTAGCTGCAGAGCCAGAGGTTGGGAGTTCGATTCCCCATCATGCCTCCTTGATAAGGGCTGTACTCAACAATCCCTTCCTGCCCTGCAGTTCTAAGAGTGCTGCAGCTGTTGTGTATTAAACCCCTTTTCATCACATAAACAAAAACAAACAAACAAACAAACAAGGACAATCCAGTATCAGAGGGCCTGGTTAACCTGACCCAATCAACATGCTGTAAAAGAAAGAACCTTTGATTTGAACTTGAGAGTGTTACCAGAAAGAAGTTCAGGTTGTAAGGCTCAGAGACAGGAAACCATGGGCTCTGGATAATGCAATCAATTCCTTCAGACCTAGGAGCCTGACTTTGAAAGTTCAGTCCCACAGTTGTTAATCAGACAACCTAAAGCAACACTAATACATGATTGCTTTAAGGTAAGCAGGTGATAAGACATCGCTGTAAGATGGGATCAAAAATGAATGTTAGTACTGCATCTAGGCTGAGAGAAAACATAAGCTGAACCCAGAAGGCCCAAAGGACAGGTTCTTCTGGACTTATTTAACTCAGAAAAAAGATACCTACCCTGTTTCCCCAAAAATAAAACCTGACCTGAAAATAAGCCCTAGTATGATTTTTCAGGATGCTGGTAATATAAGCCCTATCTCCAAAATAAGCTTCAAACCAACATGTCCAAGAATATACAATTTACGAATAAAAGGATGTATAGCAAAGATACCTTCACTTATATGATGCCAAACTTGACAGTATTCCATCTACCTGCCTGTTGTTTAAAATAAAAAATAACCAATTAAGAAAATCACATTGAAAAGGGAATCATTTTTACCTTCTGCAGGGCACAGATCAAGAAAAAAATGAAAAACCACATCAAAAAAATTGATTCAGCATATTAGATAGCATTATCTCTGACACTGCAGAATAACCACAGCATCTAGACAATGAATCAATTCATCTTCCATACCCAGAAGCATTCGTTTTTATATAAGATAAATATGTACCTTTTTCTTCATTCTGCACATCAGTGGAGACTCTGATATCATCATGTCTATGTCGGGACACCACAGCTGAGTTAGAGGATTGTAATCCATAGGATGAAGAACTACTCCGTTCTCTGGATGAAGAGTATTTTAAATTCTCTTGGTCAGCTGATGGATTTTCAGTTCTGCAAGAAAAAAAATAATTTAGGTGCTCCACCGGAGAAGTCAAGTATACCTTTAATATTCTCAGTATATTCTTGATACAAGACTTTGACTCATAGAAGGGTAGTCTCTGAAACAGGCTAGGAAGGCATTTCTGATTTTTAGGAGACAGTTGCAGATATTCTAAATAGCTTCCAGAATGCCTCAAACCACAAAATTTATTCTACATCAATCAGTTGGTCATTCAACACACCTACAACTGAAAGACAACAGGTGCACTCATATATTAATCTAACAAATCAATTAATGAGACCCAGATTAATATAATTTTGTAATTTTAGGTCAGATCCTAAATGGATGTCAAAGGTGTAATGCATCTCAACTAAAAATCCTACAGTTTTGCTTGAAGTTCTAACATTGTAATTTTCACCTCCTAGCCTTTCCTCAAGAAATCTCAAACATTTCCATGGTAGTATGCCCAGCGCGCGCGCACACACACAGAGTCCTAAAAGACACACACACAGAGAGAGAGAGAGTCCTAAAAGACACAGGAATTTAGTAGGGAGAAAAATACCTCATGGCACATCCTACAAAATAGCATACTGGACATATACAATAATAGAATAAAACCAAGCATATATTATCTACAAAAAGTATGTGAGTTTTATCAAAATTTCTACTTCTATACACAACATGTTCATATTGGCATTACCTCCCTCTGTAATCCATTCATGGATCTGGAGAACAAGGAAATTACAAAAGAAGCAGTCTTGTGGGATGTGCAATGCAAAGAAAAACAGATACCCACTAAGTCCCAATATTTCAAAGGTGTTAAATGGACCTATTTTATTACTGATTGTCCTAAACATGTGAACAAGATCTACCCAATGCACAAGGTATTATTCTGTTATCATGTAGCAACTGAAGATCCTTTTTATTTCCCACAAAACAGACAATGCTAACTTACATACGACCTTAAATATTTAAATTGGAAGAGATATTTCTACTAAACATTAGGCAGAATTTTCCAGCTGTAAATACTGTTTCTTAATGGAATTTAATACCACAAAGGTGATGGACTCATCATCTTCACTGGAGATTTTTAAACACAGATTGCATGGTCATCTGTCAGGGATGCTTTAGCTGAGCATTTCCTGTTTTGTCAGGAGATCGTTGTCAATGATCCCTGCATTCCCTTCATGCTTTACCCTTCTATGAATTTATGTACCACCTTAATGTTGGCACGTGTACACGCACAACCTATACAAACTAGCAGACATCACCAGCTTTGTCTGTTATTTCTACTGAAAGGTGCAAGTTTTATAAGTAGCCCTGTGCTCTATATGAAACAATACTGTTGGACCTGAAAAGCTATGTACAGAAACAATGCAGATGTTTGTTTTTTGGAAATTGGAAAATTACAGTCAAACATTCACTACTCATTGGTTATGAAGAACAACACAAAAGGTTAGAGCTTCTTAATCCTCTTCCAGTTCAAAGGATCACAAAAGTATTTAAATCATGCCTCCCAAAAACCCAATTATTAATACAGTATCTATCACAGAGAATGAGAACATACACATGCACAAAACAGAGGAAATCTTTTCAAATACTGTATTACACAATTTCATAAAATAGCAAGAGCCTTAAGAAACCTAATGTACATTAAATGTGTGCACATTTTTCCTTGTTCATTTAAAACAATGAGACAAATATTTGCTTAAACTTTACTCATTTTCCTTCTCACAAAAATGTAACAATATTAGAAAGACTGGACTCTCCTGGACCCATTATACTAAGGCTTCCTAAGCTTCTCACGTATATGTTGACTGACAGTCAAGTATAAAAATGTTCTGGTAAAAGTAAGAAACCTCTTCTCATCAGGGTGGATACAAATCAATAATTTTGTAAAAAACAAACAAACAAACCCCACAAGATTTTTAAAATGTAAAGCTATTTTTATATAAGTTGGAGTTTATGAGGAAATACCTATCTAAAAAATGTAAACTACATTATAGTCCAAAGGTTATTCAAAATGAAATAAGGATTAATTTTAGTTATGTTGCATGAGGTGTATATTCATGCAATGTTTAAATTTTTTGGTAAATGAATTCCATTAATCTATTCACAATGTCATGCTCTGTAAGATCACTGGACATTTTTTATCCAGAATATACAATATTATCACAGAGGCTTGGTTTTACACTTCTCAAAACTGAATCTGTGTCAGCAGAGATCACATGTCTCTTTACAGCAAAAATATTACAAAATAAACATACAGGGTTGAGAAAAATACCTTAATTCCATTGTTCCTTTGCAAATTCTCGGTACACCTCAAAAAATTCATGAATAGAAGATTGTTGGAAGTGGAACAGATCTCCGCAAGAAGCTAAATACTTTATGAGCAGGGAGAAGCAAGCCCCCCCCCCAAAAGTGAAACCTTCTGAGCAGAATGCTTCACAGGTTTTGGGGTCTTGCTGTGTATAGCCTGAGGTTGATCATATTATTCTTTCCCTGGGGGAGAAAACATATAAAGGCAGCAGGCCCTAAAAAGTTTGGGAATATTTTAATGAAGTTCCTCTACCTATGGATAAGGCAGGCATGTGTGAAAAATGCAAACACTGCAACAAAGAAATGCAAGACCTGGTGGCCCAAATGTAACATCCTAAGAATTATTGTAGTGACAAAAAGAAACATGTTTGAATAGGCAGAATCTTCAGGTTGGTAAATATTTTGATTTAATCATTTTTAAAGACTGCCAAATTATATTGTTATTAATATATTATTACAGCATGTTACCGCCATACAGTTGTTACGAAGGAATAAAAAACTGAAACAAGCAAATATTCCATTTCTGGGCCGCACTGAATGGCAGTGAACAAAAAGAGTAACACTAAATATGCAGAAAAGCTATAAAAATAAAATAACAGCAAGCACTGATTTTTGTGTGTAGGGAAATGTAAAGGATTCTGGAAACTACCCTTCTTCAAGATCACCACCCTCCTGTTCTACAGTGTTAACTATCCAGGATAGTGTTTCAGTCATATCATATACATCATCACACATTCACAGTATATCACCTAAAAGAAAGAAAAAAGTGAAGTATCCAGGAAATTCCATAGATAGGTTTGTGA